CTTCTCCCCTCCTCCTCCTCCTCCTCCTCCTCCCCCCTGAAAGTGCTGCTGCCTGCACCTGACATGCTGATGGGCTTGGTAGTGCTTCCTTGGGAAGCAGTCGCCTGGACGGGGTCCGTGGTGTGGTAGCCGGTCCGTGATGACCTGGAGATGGCGCCCCACTTGGAAATGATTGGCCCATCACTGAAAGGGATGATGGGGTCCTCCTCCTTGGCCTTCCTCTGGGTTTCAAAGAGGTGGGCAGCCGGCCTCTTGGGGTCTCCGCTGTCCAGGTCCTGCATGGAAGGGAAAGGCTGAGAGGGGCACGGCAACGCCAGCAGCTCCAAAGGATCCTTCCGGATTCCCAAGATCATTTTAGGTTGTCCCAAAGGGGCCTTTTTTTTCCAAAAGGCAATTTGGACTTTACTTGGTTTTGGTTCCCCCCCCCCTTGAAGACGTTTCGCTTCTCATCCAAGGAGCTTCTTCAGTTCTAGAGGTGAAGCGAGGAGGCTTCTTGGATGAGAAGCGAAACGTCTTCGAGGGGAAAAACAAAAAACCAAAAAACAAAGGAAGTCGACCTGCGTTTTGAAAAGCCCCTTTGGGGGAGAGACCTCCGTGACCTGGATGACTGAGAATCTCCACAGGAGGCGGCCTTACTAGGAGGACTGCGCTGGATTTAGCCAGGACGTCCTTTGGTTCAGCCTCAACCGCGCTGATGCATGAGCCGAGGGTGGTGCAGGACCAGGGCGAGTACTGGCACAGCTGCCCGTCTTCGTACTTGGCGTCGCTCGAGCCGCTGGAGTTCTCGCTGAACTGCAAGGAGCAGGAGGGGCGGGGGGGGGGGGGGGGAAAAAACAATTGACCATCTTCCAGGGACCCTCTGGGTCAGCCACGGGCAACTTTCCAGTGACACGATGAAGGTAGCGATCTGATTGACGGAAACCCTCAGGAGGAAGAGAAGAATGGGGTAAAAGGATGAATATATTCAGGGTATTTGGGTCCTTTCTCCAGAGTAAGTATTACCTACTCCAAGGCTGCAAAAGGGAAGGGAAAGTGAGGGGAAGAGAGAGAGAAAAGAAAGAAGGATGGAAGGGAGGGAGGGAGGAAGAAAGAAAGGAAGGAAGGAAGGAAGGAAGGAAGGAAGGAAGGAAGGAAGGAAG